CAAGCTCTTTCTCTCTCTCTCTCTCTCTCTCTCTATTTGTGGATTTCATCTCAGACTCAGTAAGCTCCCTCTTTCTCTCTTTCAGTAATCTCTCTCTCTCTCTCTCTCTCTCTCTAACACGCTGTTATTTATTTATTTATTTATTTGTAGATTTCATCTCATCTTTGTTGATATGTTCTTCAATGGATTCGGTAAATGTAAGTAAAAAGTCTTTGTTGATCTTTTTGTTTGGTTTTTGATTTCTATTTTTTTTTTGATTATTTATTTTCTCTAATAATATTAATCCTATTTTTTTGATGTATTTCTTTTCCTTGTTTGATAGATGTCAAGTACTGAAGAGACAAATGATGTCATCAACCTCTCTCAGTCTCAGTCTGAGCCAGAGCATGATCCTCAGCCTGAAACTCCTTCTGGTTCAAAGGTATACCCCCCTCATCCTAAGCCAAAAGCTTGACAATATTCTGAAGTTTGGGATCATTTTACCAAAATTTTTAAAGAATGGAGTAAGATTGCTGCATGTGTTAAATGTAACCACTGTAAAGCTTCTTATGCTTGGATTAGTGCAAATGGAACTAGCACTTTGAGAAACATATTGCAAAATTTCCTAAGTCCCCTCACAATAAAGAAAATTAAAAACAAAAGACTTTGGCATTTCAATCCGTAACAGAAGATGAAAAAAATCTTGGTGTTTGGAAATTTGATCAACAAGCATGTAGGGATTCACTTGTTAAAATGGTAATCATTGATAAGTTGCCATTTAGATTTGTAGAGCGTGAAGGATTCCGTCAATTTTGTAGTGTGATGCAACCTAATTTCAAAAACTTTTTACGCTTTACAGTGGCAAGGGATATTGTGGATATAAATTCTAGTGAAAAGAAAAAACTAAAAATTTTGTTGAGGAAATCAAACTATGGACTTTGTCTCACTACGGATTCATGGACATCTCTACAAAATGTTTCATATATGTGCCTAACAGCCCACTTTATTGATAAAGATTAGAATTTGCAAAAAAGAATTATTAACTTTAGTGTGATTTCTAGTCACAAAGGGGAGGCAATTGGTAAAGCAGTGGAATCATGTTTTGTTGATTGGGGTATAGAGAAGATTGGTACAATCACTTTGAATAACGCAAGTGCAAATGATGTAGCTATTGCATACGCGAAAAGAAAGTTTTCTAAAAACAGTGACTCTTTGATTTTAAGGGATGAGTACTTGCATATGAGGTGTTGTGCCCATATAATTAATTTAATTGTGAAGGATGGGTTAAGTGAAATAAAAGATTCAAAAACTCGAATTCGTAACGAGGTGAAGTATGTAAGGAGTTTTCCACAACGAGAGCAATTTTTCAGGACATGTGTTGAAACAGAGAAGGTAACATGTGAAAGCTTGTTGTATCTAGATGTCCAAATTAGGTGGAACTCCACATATCTAATGTTAGATGTTGCAACAAAGTTTCAAAAAGTATTTGAGAGATTAGAGGATAAACCCCCACATTTCAAATTAGAACTTAATCATGGACCTCCTACCACTCAAGATTGGGAAGATGCTCATGTTTTTACACAATTTTTGTAAAAGTTTTATGATACAACTGTTCGCTTGTCTGATTATTTGTATGTCACTTCCAACTTGTACTTTACTGAAGTTTGTGCTATAGAAAGTTCCTTAACTAAATCCATGGTCCTAAACCAATCTAATCCATATTTTAAATGGATTGGTTTAGACTGGTTCCACGATTTAAACGGATTTGATTGGTTCTAATTTTTCAGGAACCATAGATAACAGATTGGTCCTAATTTTATCTTAATCTGGACCAATCCAAACTATGCTCACCCCTAGATAAAAGACAGTTTTAGTCCTTCAAATATGTGTTTTTTGTCATTTTAGTTCTTCAAATTTCATTTTTGTCATTTTAGTTTTTAAAGTTGTTAATTGGAGTTAATTTGGTCATATCTCTAACGTCTATTTAGATTAATAACAACAAAAGTATTTTATCCTTGGGAAAAAAACAATTTTGGTCCTTAAAGTATGCATTTTTTTGTCATTTTAATCTCTCAAATTTTAAATTTTAAGTATGCGTTCTTTGTCATTTTAGTTCTTCAAGTTTCAATTTTGTCATTTTGGTCCTTAAAACAGTTTTTGAGTTTATGAATTTTTTGGTTCTTAAAACAGTTTTTGAGTTTTGAATTTTTTGATTTTAATATTTTGTTATCTTTGGTGATTTTTTTTTTAATAATTTAGTCATTTTTAAAAAAAAAAATTAAATGCAACTAGTCTAACTATGCTTAGAAAGTAAAACATTCGTACAAAAATCTATAAAAATTTCAATAAATGCAAAAAAACAAAACAAGAAAATGTATTTAACTTTTTTTTTTTTGATTTTTTTTTTGGTATTTGTGAATTTTGTGAATATTTTTCACAAATTTTATTAAAAAGCCAAACTTTTTTATTTACATATTAAAAGAAGTTATTAAAAATTATGGGAAATTACAAAAAATAAAAAATAAAAAAAATGGTAGAGTTTGACTCTCGTAACAAAAAAAACATTGAATTTTTAATTTTTTAAATTTTAATTTTAATGAATTTTTAATCTTTTAATTTAAATTTTAAACTTATGATTTATTTTCAATTTAAACCATTTGTTATTTTTTGTTGAGTAAAATCAATAGAAAAATAAATATTTTAGTAATTAAACTCAATGAAAAAATATATATTTTAGGCATTTTGCGTAGGATTGGGCTTCTCTCATGTTGAGATATCAACATGAGAGAACTTGAGGGATTTTTGAAACCTACCATAATTCTCGTTTCGATAATCCGAACCATTCATTTTTTAGGACTCGTTAAGTAGAATATTAATGCAAAAAATTAAGATGATTAGACATCAATAGTTATATATTTAAATCACATTTATATTACAAAAAATAAATAGTTATTCTTGAAATTATATTTATCGTCCATTTTTTACAACAAATATAATTAAAGTATATAATTATCAATATCTAATCATCTTATTTTTTACATACATATTTTATTCAACAAGTTCTAAAAAGTGAATGGCTTTAGATCATTTGAACTAATTCTAAAATGGGCTTACCAAGTTTAAAGGTGCTATCAAGTTAATTTAAGATAAGCCAAACCTTTTGAGTTTAATGACTAAAATATACTCTCTTTTTTTTGTTGTTGGTTTTTATTTAACGAAAATTAATGAATGATTTAGATTGAAAACAAATCAAAAAATTAAGGTTTAAATTGATAAAATTAAAAATTTAGAATTTGTTTTGCTACAAGGCTCAAATTTTGAAATTTTTTTTAATAATTATTTCTAAAATTAAAAATACAAATTAAATATTTAAAATTATTTTTAAAAACTTAAAACTGCATAGATGAAAAAAGAGTTAGCATATTGGCTCCGTTTGGCAAGGACTTTTGTGGCTATTTTTAGCCACAAAAAACAAAATAAATTATTTTAGTCACAACAAATAAAACATCACATTCAATATATAATCATTATATTCTTCTCTCACAAAAAAATTAAAAAAATTTAAAATTCAAAAAGTCTTTTTTAAACCAAATTTTTTAATTTAGACTAAAATAATTTAAAAAAATCAAAAAATTAAAAAACCAACACACTTCCCAAACGGAGGCGGTATGAATACATGTACAATAATTACAATCCAACAAAGAGACGCCGACTACCCAACTAACGCATGCCCCCATCACTCCCTTCATCATTTCATTTGTCGGTCCCATCCTATCTAACCTCGCATAAGACAAAAGTAGATATTTGTTAATGCAATTTATCTGAATTAATTATAATTTATTTATTTATTTATTAATTAATAAAAAGGTTTTATATCAAATTATTTAAAAATTGAAAGTTGTGTGATTTTGATTTCTATTTTTCTATTACCAACTTAAAATAAGTTGCACACCTATAAAATGGTTGAGATCATAATCATGTTAAATTTGTGAACTACATAATTGTGGGATAATTTTTTTTAAATTCACTAAAACAAAAAAACTGGGTAAATTACAATAACTTCCTTAGCCTCAGTTTGGAAAGTTGAGGTTGGGACATTTTTGTCACAAAAAAATAAAAATAAAATAGACTTTTTAGTTTAATAAGACAAAACATCACGTCTAATTCATAATCATTATATTTTTTCTTCTACAAAAAATAAAAAAAATCAAAAAGCCCTTATCAAATAAGACTTTTTAACCCTAAGCTAAAATAGTCAAAAAGATAAAAAATCAAAAAACTAACTCACTTCCCAAATGAACCCTTAATATTTATAAATAGTAATATCTCATTGTTGTTTATTATGAAAAAAAAAATTAATCAGTGTGTTTGGTTTGAGTTTTTTGGATTAAGTTTTTTAAAAA